CCATCCATCCATCCATCCATCCATCCATCCATCCATCCATCCATCCATCCATCCATCCATCCATCCATCCATCCATCCATCCATCCATCCATCCCTTCAGTGGCTCCAGTCCATGTATTATTCTTCCTGGGATCTGCTGGGTGAAGGACAAGACACTTTGTCACTGTCCCCAGAGAAGCAGCAGCAGGACCGGTGGCTTATCACAGCACCGAGTGCTGATAAGGGGAAATRTTGTTACCCTGTGGGCTGAGCTGTGCATTCCCATCAGTGCCTGCACTCGGGCCTCAGGGTGACATTTATTTCCCATTTGGGGTGGCATTTATTTCCCATTTGAAGTGACATTAAATTCCCATTCAGAGCAGATGCCGGGCTGGGGACTGGTGAGGCAGAGAGTTGGGAATGATGGAGGGAAAAGAGGGCTGAAGGAGAAGATCCAGRTGGGAGATGGAGGAGCAAAAGGTTCCCTGGCCCAGCCACCGAGGCACCCCCTGGCCCTCCAACCCTCCCGTTTTCCCAGCCCTGTTCATCCATATGCATTTTCCCGTCCCCGAATATATCCATCTGCCCACCTGCCCGTGTCACTCTGCCGCCGTTTCCATCCATCCATCCGCCCCCAGACATCATTCCCTTCTCCCAAATGCCTCCCACCCCTCTCCCTGCATGCACCCTGCCAGCTCTGCCTTTTCCATGGAGTTGGGAAGAGACAGGGAAGGGTCTGGATTCTCTGAGGGGCTTCTCCCCTTTGCCACTGGCAGCTGCCCCAGCTGGGGTGATGGCAGAGCCCTGACCCTGCTGGGATTTGCTGTCCCTAGGGCYGTGTCACCCACCATGGGGCTGGAGGACATCTGGTGCCACAAAGCCTTACCCAAATTCCCACCTAAAACCCGGATCTGCGGTGGGATTTACAGCACCGGCTCTAATTTATKGAGCCCGCTCCTCCCCGGCGTGATAAAACACTGGAGCAATAATACACTTCAGGATGGACTCCAAGACACTTAAACTGTTTAATGCGCTGCCTTTCTGCTCGTAAATCTATTTACACTCTGTCCCCAGCCCTGGAGGGAGCGGGCACATGCCCAGGAGCCGGGATGAATAACGCAGGGAGCCGCCCTCCGGCCCCGGCTCGCGTCCYGCTCGGAGCCCGGCGCGATTTCTCGCTGAGTTATTTGCTGTTTGTGTTGGAGCTTCATTTCTGAGGGAGCTCTCAGTTACCTGCTGAGATCGGGGAGTGTGATTGCGGTGTCAGGGCTCCAAACCTGCTCCATAAATCACAGCTGGCCGAGTGGGATGTGCTATCTGTTACCGTAAATGATTTAACGCGAGGGCGGGCTGGGGAGCTGCCTGTCCCCGCTGCCGTGTGGCTCCCCGGTGGTTGCTCTCTTGTGTGACGTGGGATTTGTCCTGGACTTGGTGTGGACGTGGCCCAGGAGTGGGAGTTGTAATCCTCATCCCTTTCTGTGGTGACACAGGGTGACAAAGGAGTACAGGAGGACATCGTCACTTTGGGTGGCGTCCAAATGGTCGCTCAGACTGGCATAAAAATAACCCTGAAATAATGTAGAACCCATAGAAATAATATAGAACCCATAGAAATAATATAGAACTCATAGAAACAATATAGAACCCATAGAAATAATATTTTTAAACTCCCTAAAATGTGGGGTGACCCTGGGGGCTGTTGAGGGACACACAGGGAGTGAAGGGCCACCTCTGCTGCCGGTGACAGTGGGAGATGCTCAGCCTCACCCATGTGTGACCCTTCTGAGAGCCTCACACTCCACATCCCCTGGAAAACCCACCAGGAGCTTGTGGGATTGATCCTCAGTGACCTTCTCACCGGCACTGTGGGGAACGTGTCCCCTTATCCCTGTGCCAAGCATATAAATTCATATGAAAATACATATAAATATATAAAACCGCATATAAATACATAGAAATAAATAGAAAGATATATAGAAATACATAGGGGGAATGGCTCAGCTTCAACTCCGAGCTCAGTGCACTTTTGGGGTCAAAGCTGTGGATTTGAGGGTTCTTGGGCAGCCTGGGTACACAGGGAGCTGGTGATGCCACAACCCCACCCGTGCCTCAGTTTCCCTGGCGGGTGAGCAGGGATTTGGGGCCGTGTGTGGTGTTTCAAAAGACCCTTTAAGGAGTTTCTCAATTTTGGGGCTGTGAAAGTTTCTCCTTTGGGTGGTCTTAAAATTTACCCAAGAGCTGTCTGCTGGTTTTATACATACATATAAATACATATGAAATACATATAAATTCATATGAAAATGCAAATAAATACATAAAAATACATAGAAATGCATAGAAATAGAGAGAAAAACATATGGAAATACATAGGAACTCCYGGCCACAGCAGCAGCAGCAGTGCCTTGGCTGGGAGCCCAGGCAGCCCTCAGCCTCTCTCTCCACGATGCCTCGCCGTAAATCCGGAAGATTCCCCGAACGAGCTTCATTCCCGAGCTAATCTGCAGTCACTCCATCTTCCAGACAGCCCTGGTGTGTGGGGAGTTTTTGTTGTGGTTTCAACCCCCAGGGGCTGCGAAGCGAGCAGCTCCTGGGAGAAGGAGGTGCCGGGGTTTTATTGGCCCAGGTAGGGCGGGCAGAGCCCGGGGTGTTCCTTKTGATGGATGGCCCCATATCCAGGGATCCGCAGCTGCGGGAATCGCCCGGAGCTCATCTCCATTCAGGAGCTGAGATTGTCTTGTCAGAGCTGCTGAGCTGGTGCCTCTGATAGGAACGCGAGGAACAAACCCTCACACGTCGCCCTTCCCTTCTGTGCCCAGGGATGTCCCCAGGAGCTCAGGTCCCGGGCTCTGCCTCCCCCTCCAGCYCCAGGGGACCTCAGACCTTGCCCGGGGCTCCTGGAGCTGTTGTAGGAGTCAAACCCTGCCGTGGGCTCAGAAATGTAGAATTCCTGCATCAGCTTGAGCTCAGGGAATGGGTTGGGAGGGAGAYRGGGATGCTGCAGCGTGGCCTCAACMTCTCATCAGCCATCAGAGAATSCAGGGATTGCTGATTGCTGGAATCAGCCCTCTCATGCTGCTGAGGTGCTGGCTGAGCAAACGAGCCCYGCTCTTCTCCAGCATCCATCAAATCCTGACAGGGGATCGGGGTTGAGCTGTGGGGCCGCTGCAGATGAAGGGTTGGAGTCCCCTTGTGGCAGAGGGAGCTCTTGACTGGTGACCTGAGCTCAAATCCYGGGAGATGCTGCCCTGGTGTCCCCTGAGCTCCTTAATTAGCTCAGACGGGCGCTAATGAGTGACCCCCCGCAGGACGGGGTTGTTTTACAGCGATTTTGCTCACGGCATTTGCATAARTGGGAATTAAAAGAGGAGGAGCGAGAAAAGGAACGGGAAGGTTTAATCAGAGTGAAGGAATCTGGCTCTGGGGTCGCAAGGAGGGACAGGGACAAGGCACTGGTGGGGACGGGCGCGTGGCTGGTCTGTGCTYGCTGCCTGGGCCCTCTGGAGAAGATTTTGGGGCAAATTTCCAGGCTGAGCAATTTGTGACCTCTGTGAAGCACCCGTGGGTGCCTCTAGCTCAGGGACAATTCAGTGTGGAGGCTGAAGAGAAACTGAGGCACCGAATGGATGCTCCTGGTGGAGGTGGGAGYGAGCCAGGGCTGGCAAGAGGAGCTGGGTAGGGGACACTTGGCATGGAGGATCTGGAGACCTGTGACTCAAGAGGATCTGGGGCAGGGGACAGTTGGCGTGGTGGACACAGGGTGTGGATCTCTGCCTCAAGAGAACCTGGTTCAGGGGACATTGAACGATGGATACAGGGTGTGGATCTGTGCCTCAGGAGGACCTGGGGCAGGGGACACTGAGAGATGGACACGGGGTGTGGATCTGTGCCTCAGGAATACCTGAGTCCAGTGACATTTGGCATGGTGGACTGTTCCCATCCCCTCTTGTCCCCCAGGTTTCCAGCAGCTGCGACTACGTCTTYGTCAGCGGGAAGGAGTCGCAGGGCTCCATGAGTGCCCGGGTCACCTTCACCTATGAGCACCTGTCAGCCCCGCTGGAGATGACGGTGTGGGTGCCCAAACTGCCCCTGCACATCGAGCTCTCGGACGCCCGGCTGAGCCAAGTCAAGGGCTGGAGGGTGCCCATCCTGCCGGACAGGAGGTGGGTGCTGCTGCCCAGCCCGGAGAAAGTGAGGTGGAGGTGGTGGACGTGGGTTAATTGCCTTAATGAGGCCGCGAGTTAATTGCCAGATGCTCAGTGAGGAGGTTTAAAACCTCCTCATTAAAAATAAATAGAAATAAATAATATAAATTTTTTTCTGTCCGTCCATCCACCCATCCATCCATCCATCCATCCATCCATCCATCCATCCATCCATCCATCCATCCATCCATCCATCCATCCACCTGTCTGTCCATCCATCCCTGTCCATCCATCCATCCATCCATCCATCCATCCCTGTCCATCCATCCATCCCACAGGTCGGTGCGGGACAGCGAGCACGAGGAGGATGAGGATGAGCGGAAGCAGAGCCGGGGCTGTGCCCTGCAGTACCAGCACTCCACCCTGCAGGTCTTCACCCAGTTCCACACCACGGCGGCCGAGGGCACTGGCCAGGTGGTCACCATGCTGGGGCCCGACTGGCTGGTGGAGGTCACCGACCTGGTCAGCGACTTCATGCGTGTGGATGACCCGCGGGTGGCCCACATGGTGGACAGTTCCACGCTGGCTGGGCGGGAGCCGGGCACCACCCTCTTCAAGGTACCCCTGGCCACCTTCCCCCGCCTCTGCCAGCCTGGCCAGGGGTGGCAGGCGGTGACAGGAGCCTTGTCCCCTGCAGGTGGTGTCCCCGCTGGTGGAGGCGGTGCTGGGTGAGACRCTGGTGACGGTGGCAGAGGAGAAGGTCAGCATCACGGACCTGAAGGCCCAGGTGGTCTCCAGCCTCTCGCTGTCCCTCCACCCCAGCCCTGGTAACAGCCACACCATCATCGCCCGCACGTCYGTGCAGCAAACCCTCAGCTTCTTCAAGCAGGTGAGCCCGGGGGTGGGGGGATCCAGGTTTGGGGGGGCTGGTGGGGAACTTGGGGTGGGCTCAGAGTTCTGCCTGCAGCCCCCTTCTCCCAAATCCTGACCATGCTCACTGCACCTGCTGTCCTCCTGACACCCTAGTGACCCCAAAACACCCCTGAAACCTTCACAGAGACCTGTGATCCACACCTGGGGACAGGACACAACTGTGGGGACACAGAGGGAGGGATAGAGGCCTGTAGAGCTCCTGGCCCAGCTCTGGGAGCCACATCTGGCACYGCTGGGGTTTGGGTTGGGCCTGGTAAGCATGGGGAACGTGAGGGAAGAATAGGCTGTGGAGGAAAATCAGGGAATGTGTGGAACAAGATGGAAAATGGAGGGATGAAGGGTGAATTGGATAGGGAGAAGGATGGAGAGGGGGATAGGGGATGGACAAAGGGGTGCCTGTGGGACTGGCCTCCTGCTGGGCAACGGTGCCTGTGTTGGTCCCGCAGGAAGCGCTGCTGAGCCTGTGGATTTCCTACAGCGACGGCACCACRGCGCCCCTGTCCCTCTACGACCCCAAGGACTACAACCTGGTGGTCAGCAGCCTGGACGAGAAGGTGGTGACGGTGACGCAGGACCGCGCGTTCCCCTTGGTGGTGGCGGAGAGCGAGGGCGCGGGGGAGCTGCTGCGGGCCGAGCTGGTCATCTGCGAGAGCTGCCAGAAGACCAARCGCAAGAGCGTCCTCTTCACGGCCTTGGCCACCGTGCGCGTCCACTTCGGCTCCGAGGAGGACCCCACCTACGACTACGACCACGTGCCCAGCAGGCCGGGGCTGGGCGAGGCGGGGGCRAGCACCACCCTGCGGGCAGAGGTGGACAGGAAAGCGGACCCGAGCGAGGACGGCCGCGCACCCGGCGCGTCCCACCCCACCGAGGACTTCCCCACCATCCCCACCGGCTTCGTGCAGGTGACGCGGGGGCTGACGGACCTGGAGATCGGGATGTACGCCCTGCTGGGCGTCTTCTGCCTGGCCATCTTGGTCTTCCTCATCAACTGCATCGTCTTCGTGCTGAAATACCGGCACAAGCGCATCCCGCCGGAAGGCCAGACCAACATGGACCATTCGCACCACTGGGTCTTCCTGGGCAACGGGCAGCCCTTGCGGGCTCACAATGACCTCTCCCCGCAGCCYGAGAGCCCGGGGAACCCGCTGGAGAATGTGCAGACCTGCTGCCACGGGGACCACCACAGCAGCGGCAGCTCGCAGACCAGCGTGCAGAGCCAGGTGCACGGGCGCGGGGACGGCTCCTCGGGCGGCTCCACGCGGGACCAGAGCGAGGACCCGCTCAACTCGCCCACCTCCAAACGGAAGCGGGTGAAGTTCACCACCTTCGCCACCATGCCCTCGGACGAGCTGGCCTACAACTCCATCCCCATCGCCGACGAGGAGGACTTGGAGTGGGTGTGCCAGGACATGGGGCTGCAGGACCCCGAGGAGCTSCACAACTACATCCGCAGGATCAAGGAGATCGCTTAACGCAGGGGATGGGGCGGGAGGGAGGGGCTGCCACGCCACGCCGCACCACGCCGCACCACGCCACGCTTCCCCGGGGCCGGGCACCCGCGTCCGGCTCCTTCTTCCGCACATYTCACGTCCTCACCCCGTCCCGCGGAGCCCCCGGGGGGCCCTTTTTTCTGTTCTCGCCCTTTCCTCGCCGCTTTTCCCAGGGGAGGCAGCAGCACCCGCGTGGCCCCAGGGCCGAGGGGAGGGTATGGGGTCACGGCTCGGGGCGGGTGTGTGTGTCCCGTGGCGGGGGAGGGAGGCTGTGGGTCCTGCCGGGAAGGGGCGGGCAGAGCGGAGGGGTCGCGGTTCGCCCCGGAGCCCGGCAGGGAGGTGGTGGGTGAGGGCTTCCCCCAGCCTTTGCTGCGCTCTGTTGCACAATTTTGGARGTCGGTGCGGGGTCACCCCGTGGGTGTTGGGGTGTTGGGGGGTCCCTCCCGCTGCTGGCCCACGCTGGGTGATGCTGGGGAGGCAGGAGYGGGGGGCGCGATGGCCACAGACCCAGGGTAGCGCTGTGCCCCTCGCCAGCCCCAAATTCCCTGGGGGGCAGTTTGGGGGTGACCACCGCCTCTGCTGCCCACCCAGCCATGGGGCCAGCGCTGCCCCCCAACACAAAGCCCTGCTGGGGCCTCCAGGGCGAGCCGCTGGTTTCTGCTTCCTCCCAGTGCTGGAATGTGGCTCTGGGATGGGAATGCGGCTTGGGGGCTTCTCACTGCCTTGGGGGACACTCTCGGTGGGACCTGGTCTGTGTGTCCCAGTGCTAGCCCGGCTCCCCCAGTGCTAGCCCAGCTCCCCCAGTGCCACCCCAGCTCCCCCAGTGCCAGCCCAGCCGGGATGCCCGGGGCCAGGCTCAGCCTGTGTGGTGCCTTCTGACTGCCATAACCCGATGCCTCCCGGTCTCCCCGTGCTGGCGGCACCTCCCAGCCCCTCTGGCTCACCCTAAAAAGCCYCCCCAAGCCCAGAGCCACCCCATGTCACACCCTCAGCCTGTGGGGGACACCAGAGCTGGCAGGCTGGGCGCCCTGGGCTGTGCACTTGTCCCCTGTCCGAGCATTTGGGGACAGGGACCCCCAGCATCACCCAGTGGAGGCTGGCAGCGGATTATTTCTGGATCGAAAGTTACCCACCACTGTGTCTCTCTTTTTTTTTTTTTTTTTTTTTTTTTTTTTTTTTTTTTTTTTTTTTCTTAAATAAAAGACTCGAAAAAGGAAAAAAATGAAACAAAAAGCCTAAACCAAGCGGCAGCGATGTCACAGGCCCTGTCTGTGCTGCGGTGCTGGGGTTGGGATCTCCTGGCGGTTTGGGGTGAGCCCTGGTGGGTTTGGAGCCTGCTGGGGGATGGCTCAGCTTTGACCCCCAGCTCAGTGCATTTTTGGGGTCAAAGCTGTGGATTTGAGGGTTCTTAGGCAGCCTGGGCACACGGGGAGCTGGTGATGCCCGTGCCTCAGTTTCCCTGGCGGGTTAGCAGGGATTTGGGGCCGTGTGTGGTGTTTCAAAAGACTCTTTAAGGAGTTTCTCAGTTTTGGGGCTGTGAAAGTTTTTCCCTTGGTTGGCCTTAAAATTTGCCCGAGAGCTGTCTGCTGGTTTTATACACACATAAAAATACATATAAATTCATATGAAAATACATATAAATACATAAAAAATAAATAGAAATACATATGAAAATACATAGAAATACATATGGAAATACATATACATATAAAAATACATATAAATACATAGAAATGCATATAAAATACAAATAAGTACATAGAAATGCATATAAAAATACATATAAATACATAGAAATACATATAGATACAAATAAATACATAGAAATACATACAAAAATACATAGAAATACATTAAATACGTATAAAATACATTGAAATACTTGCAAAAATACATAAAAATAAGTAGAAATACACCTATAAATGCATATAAATACATATAGAAATACATATGAACACATCTGGGGAGATTGAGATGTTCTTGGAGGGCAGGTAGGGCATGCAGGGAKTTGGTTTTACTCTGTCCCCTGATCTGGAGGAGCCAGGGCTGGCTGATGGTGGCTCTGGGCAGGAAAATTCCCACGGCTGCCTCCCCTGCCTGGATGTGCCCAAAACCTCCTCACTCAATTCACATAAATTAATATTTGTTGAGGTGGGGAGAGAAATAATTTTTTTAAAGGGAAGAAAAAGAGGGGGGATGGTTAGAAAATGGTGGATAAAAAAAAATTTAAAAGGTGAGAAAAGAAGGGGGAAAGGTCAGAAAAATGTGGAAAAAAAATTAAAAGGTGAGAAAAAGAAGGGGGAAAGRTCAGAAAAGGGCAGAATAAAATTTTATAATCACAGTAAGAGCTGGCAGCGCCTGACTCTGGTCCACGGGCGTGTCCTGGGGCTGTGGAGGTGGAACAGGGGACAACAGGGACAGTTCCCAGGGGACTGGGGATCTTGGCCAGCCTTGGGCTGTCCCCACTGCCAGGTTTTCCCGCTTGTCCTGGCTGCTCTCCCAAGGTCTGGCACCGGGCACCTGCAGCGGTTTTCCAGCCCAACACTTCCCGATGGATCCCGCTCGGCACCCAGGAGCCCTCGGTTGTAGGGTCTGAGGGTGCTTTTATGGCCTCGTGTCCCCGGTTTATGGCACCTCATCCATCCCAGAATCCCTGATTCCAATCATTCCTGGGTGAGGGAAAGAGCCCAGCTCAGGGTGAAGGGAGCAGAGCCTTCTCTGCAGCTCTGTCTCTATATTGGTATCTTTAGATGCAGATATTTATATTTCATGCATATGGATGTATTTAGGATTTATACATATAYATGCATCCATAATGCGTGCGCGAATATATATTTATT